TTGATTAAGTAAAAAAAACAGACATTTTGCGCGTAACGTAACGAATCTCGTTTACATTACAATACGAAACGATACTTTACAATGTTAAAGGGGAGGGTGTTATACCATCACCACCATATTCTCCTGCAACTTTAAGATACTATTCTTGTATTTATTCTGGAATCAAATTTTGGTATTATATATATATATATATATATATATATATATATATATATATATATATATATATATATATATATATATATATATATATATATATATATATATATATTCATTTATATATATATATATATAGATGTAGGTGATCTTTTATTTTATATATATATATATATATATATATATATATATATATATATATATATATATATATATATATATATATATATATATATATATATATATATATATATAATACCAAATACCAAAATTTGATTTACATACTTTAATATAGAAAAAACTTTTAGGGGCTGTCCATTAATTACGTTAACAAATGTTTTGAAGTTTTTATATCTCCCTCCCCCTTGTCAACAATTTGTCAAATTTCCAGAGACCACCCCTATAAAATTACGTCAACTTTTGATAACTCTTTCCCCCTATACAAAGAAACTACGCTACAAACTCAGCCTAATTTTCCGTTATTTAAACAATGAAAGTCAAAAAAAAAAAAAAAAAAAAAATTGTTGACGTCAATTTTAATTGACCCCCCCCCCTCCCCCGTGTTAACAATTGTCAAAAAAGTTTAGACTTCTTCCCTAATTTTGTTGACGTAATTAATGGACAACCCCTTAATGGAACTTAAAGTTAAAACAATAAATTAGTAATATTAAGAAAAATTAATCAAAAACCTTTTAAATCATCTGTTACGTTGAAAAAAAAATGACAACCAAATAAGCATGGTATAGAATCCTAAAATAATAAATCCTAAACATATATATATATATATATATATATATATATATATATATATATATATATATATATATATATATATATATATATATATATATATATGTATATATATATATATATATATATATATATATGTATATATATATATATATATATATATATATATATATATATATATATATATATATATATATATATATATATATATATATATATATATATATATATATATATTACGTATTGTAACGTAAACGAGGTTCGTAATGTTTGTGCAAAATGTTCGTTATTTTTATGTAACCGAGACAACATACTGTTAAAAAAATCTATATTTGAGACTATACTTATAAAATTCTTTTTAATATAATACAATATTTCTTTGTTTTTAAACGGTTTTTTAAATTACTTGAAAAACGAGGGTATATATAACCCCTAAAAATATTGTATTATATTATGAAGAATTTCATAAGGATAAGTTTATATACTATAAACAGATTTTTAATTTAATTTAATTATATAAAATCTTATCTAAGATATTAACTTTAAAAATTTTTTATTTGAGACCTATTTTAGTTACGTCCTAAACCTGAATTTTGATAAAAATTTGAAATTGAAAGAGACCATCGAGTTGGGAAGTAATTACTGGATGGTAATAAGAAAATTAGATCTATCGTCGTCAGATTTCTTAATTATTAAGACAAATCTATGATATTTAGAAAATACACTAGAATGAAATTATGGACTAAAAAAGGTTATATAATGAGAATTATAGTGAAAATACGGTAAGATTACGAAGAAAACTCCTAATCGAAGCAAAAGATTTGAGTGCGAACAGCAGGTACGCTAAAGTCGTATATAATAAATTAAATCTAAATATGAATAGTCCAGTTATTAATGTTGAATGCCGTTAGTTACTATTGTTCGATATTAGTAACGGTTCTGTATTCTGTAAAATACTCTAACGCAAACAGTTTCCAATCTACTTTTAAAATTACACGAGGTAAGCTCTTAAATTTGATAAGGAGATTAAGCTTTATTAACTTTTTAAACGTTTGTATTAGATTTGTTGTGTGTTGATGCCCTAACGATTTTTTATTTTTGTTTACTATATGTTTTATTTATTGACTTTGGTTTCACGCAAACTTTTATGGCTTTTCAATAAATATTTTATTTAATATAACTTACTGGATATAAATGAATTTTGTTCATAAATATAAATTTGATATTGTACGTTTGTTTATTTATCTCTTAATATTTGCAGCAAACATTTGCTTTCATTTTTATTTGTTTAATTTGTTTAGTTATTTAGATGCTTAAAATACTAGCAGTAAGCATTTCCTACCATTTCTATTTATACTTTGTTTATTTATTTAGACTTAAATTAAAAGAAAATTTATGTTTCCAGAGTTGTGATTAATCATAATTCAGTTGTTGAACAGATAAAAATTGTAGAGGTTTATATCATATATATATATATATATATATATATATATATATATATATATATATATATATATATATATATATATATATATATATAAAATTTAAAACTGCATTTGATTTTGTTTTCACATTTATTCCCTTTTTTTTCTGTTATAAATAGTTCATTAAAAATTTATTAATTAAAAACAAAAGAAGTTTTAAGTTCGTTTTCATGCTTTAAATAAAATTAAAAAATGGCATTATGTCAATAATATTTATTTTTTTATTTGATTATATATATATATATATATATATATATATATATATATATATATATATATATATATATATATATATATATATATATATATATATATATATATATATATATATATATATATATATATATATATATATATATATATATATATATATATATATATATATATATATATATATATATATATATATATAATATAAAATATATATGTAGCGAGAGAGAGAACTTAATCCTGAGTATTTTATACTAGATTTTTTATTTATTTTATCTGTTTATCAATATGTTTTTTATTTTATATTTGATCTCTTTATAGATATATTGTTGTAGCTACTACAAGGGGAAATGTTTATAATTGTTTTGATAATTTTTCTTTTAATTATAAGCAAGATATATATTTGTAGTTTATTTTAAATTTTAGATTACATGAATTATTTTACTTTATTATGCAATTTAGAGTAGTACAAAAAGAGATAAGAGTTTGGATGAATTTTAATAATATGTTAAATGAAAACTATGATGCTGAAAGGGTGGTTAGACAAGATGAAGTTTTACATTTACAAAATGATGTAAATGCTCTAAGGCGTGCTGAAAATAATCATCAACGAAATGAAAGAAACAGACTTAGGCGAGATGAAGTTAATCGTCAGCAAAATGTAAGAAGAGCTGTTATACGAGCTGAAGAGAATTTAAACCCAAATCTGGAAAGGTTGATTAGACGAGTTAAAAAAAATCATCGTCGAAATGAAAGAAATAGGCTTAATCGTGATGTGGTTAATTATCTCCAAAATGAAAGAAATAGGTTTAATCGTGATATAGTTAATCGCCGTCAAAATGAAAGAAATGCTGCTAGACCTGGAAGAATTTATTCTATAGCAAGAAGTAACGCTATTCCAGATTGTAATTATTTAGGAGAAATGAATCAAATTTGTCAGCACTTTGGTGCTAAGAAACTTTTAGATGAAACACATTTTCTATGTTGCCATAATGGTAAGGTAGCTTTGCCTCCACTTTCACCGTTTACACAAGCTTTACAGGATTTATTTACAGGGAGTTATGTAGATCGTAATGTTAATGACAATTTTTTAAAACATTTTCGAAATTATAATGCCTGTCTTTCTTTCGCTTCTTTTAAAGCAGATGTAGTTCAACCAATGAATCATGGGCCTCCATGTTTTAAAATATGTGACCAGATTTATCATCGTGTAGGTAATCTTAGGCCAGATCAAGATATTCCACCAAAATTTTCTCAACTATATATTTATGATCCACTTGCTGCAGTAAATTTTAGAATGCAACAACGTGGGAATGATCTTTGTTTACGTGATTTAATGTTTCAATTGCAAACTATAATTACTGAACATTTTGCTCTTGCATTTAAAAACATGGCTGAAGTAGAAGATGAAGAAATTTGTCAAGCGGCTCTAGAAGGTCGCTCAGCTTCTGTTGTAAAAATGTCTTTACTTGAAGGGGGTGATAGACGTCGCTATAATCTACCTTCACACGATGAAGTTGCTATTGTGTTTGTTGGTGAAGATGGTGCTCCCCCAACCTCGAGGGAAGTTATTATTTACCCAAGAGGTCGTCCTTTAAAAATTGTATCAAGTATGTCAGCCAACTTGGATCCTATGGTTTATCCTCTATTTTTCCCAAAAGGTGATGCTGGTTGGCATAATCAGTTGGTGCATAACCCTGAGCGTGCCACACTGGTTAGAAATCATGTTGCATTATCTCAGTTCTACAATTATAGACTTTCTGTTAGGCAATTTTTCTGTTCATTATTTTATGGCAAGAAATTGTTTCAGCAATATGCTGTTGATGCATATGTCAAAATTGAAGGCCAGCGTCTTGCTTTTATTAGAAATAACCAAAACAAACTTAGAAGCGAGCAGTATGATGCCTTACATGAACATGTTAACAACATTGCGAACGATCGTAATATTTGACCAGGGCGAGTAGTAGTTTTGCCATTATCTTATGTAGGGAGTCCTAGAGCTTTAAAAGAAAACTTTGAAGATGCTATGGCAATTATTAAAAAGTATGGTAAACCAGATCTTTTTATTACTTTTACTTGCAACCCAAAATGGCGTGAAATAATAGAAAATTTATATCCGGGTCAGACTGCGAATGATAGACCTGATTTAGTCACTCGAGTATTTAAACTCAAGTTAAATAACCTCCTCAATGATATATTCAAACATGGTGTATTGGGCAAAGTTGTAACGCATGTTCAGGTTATTGAGTTTCAAAAGCGTGGTTTGCCGCATGCCCACATTTTACTTCATTTAGCCAATGATGATAAACTTGAAACAGCACAGGATATCAATAATTTAATATGTGCAGAAATTCCAGATCCGATTGTTAATCGTGAACTTTATGATATTATTAAACTTGCATGATTCACGGCCCGTGTGGGATACTGAATCCTAATTCTCCCTGCATGAAAGATGGGGTTTGCAGCAAAAATTATCCTAAAGAATTTAGTGCCAACACAGTAGCCGTTCACGATGGTTATCCACAATATAGGCGTCGTGATGATGGATTGGTTATCAATATTAAAGGCAACAATGTAGATAAACGTTGGGTGGTACCTTACAATCCTTGGTTATCTAAGAAATATTAAGCCCACATTAATGTTGAAGCTTGCATGTCCGTTAAGGCTGTTAAATATTTGTATAAATATATATACAAAGGGCATGATTGTGCCAATGTTTTGATAAATGAACAGGTTAATCACGATGAAATAAATACTTTCTTAGATTGTCGTTATGTTAGTGCGCCTGAAGCACTTTGGCGAATATTTGAGTATTCCATAAGTCATATGTCACACACTATTATCTGTCTTAAGGTTCATCTACCTGAGAATCAGATTGTGTATTTTAGAGAAGGAGAAGAACAAGTGGCGTTAGATCGTGCTGTTACACACCTTATATGGTGATACACACCTTACGGCCTGGTTTTAATTGAATTCTGAAAATGAAGGAGCCCATCGCTACTCATATGTTGACATTCCATAACACTTTGTATTTGGTGATAAACATTGTAAACGGAAGGTTAGACAAAGAGGTGGAAATAAGGTGATAGTAAGAATGTATAAAGTTAGTCCAACAGGAGAATTATTTTTTCTTAGATTGTTACTTTTACAAGCAAAAGGAGCAACATCTTGGGAGGATTTGCGTACTGTTAATGGAATAGTTCTTGAAACCTTTCGTGAAGCATGTGTTTTAAAAAGTTTGCTGCAAGATGACACTGAATGGCAGAATACTCTTTCTGAGGCAGTTTTAACGCGAATGCCTAAGCAAACTAGACAGCTGTTTTCAATTATTTTAACCTTTTGTGAACCTGACGACCCTTTGCATCTTTGAAATACACACAAAGCTTTTATGATGGAGGATTTCATTCATTGCCAAGTTCCATTTATATTAGCTGAACAAGCTACTCTTCGTCAAATCGAAACAATTATTAATCAAAGTGGTAAAACGCTATCTGATTATAATTTGCCTGTTGTTGATGAATTCATAGATTTCAATCTAGAAAATTTAAATGGTAATGTTCAGCAATCAATTGACGAAGCTAATAGAATGAGACCGCTTCTCAATGTCAATCAATTAATTGTAAGTAATGCTGTCCTTGCAGCATTGAATGAGCAACCAAGTGTAGAAAATCAACATTCTAGATTGTTTTTTATGGATGGACCAGCCGGTAGTGGCAAAACTTTTACATATAATTATTTGATTGCTGAAACGAGAAGTAGGGGTGTTAAATCTGCTACAGCTGCATGGACTGGCATAGCAGCAACTCTTCTTACAAATGGATCTACGCTGCACGGCTTATTTAAACTTCCTGTCCCAATGCTGGATAACAGCACATGTAATGTGACTCCTAACTCTATTCAGGGACAATTTTTAAGGCAAGTTAGTTTGTTTATGCTTGACGAGACATCCATGATTCCCAAACATGCTTTAAATGCAATCGATCGGTTGTTAAAAGATGTTTGCAACAACAACTTTCCGTTTGGTGGAAAAGTCATTCTTTTTGGTGGTGACTTTAGTCAAATTTTGCATGTTGTGAAAAGAGAACGACCAGCTGAAGTTGTAGAATCATGTATAAAATGTTCTTTACAGTGGCAATGGGTGCAGAAGTTTACATTAACTGAAAATATGAGAGTACGTGATGGAGAAGGAGAATTTTCTGAATGGCTGTTAAAACTTGGTAGTGGAACAATACCTGTCAAGGAGAAAGATCCTTTTAAAGGATGTATTGAAATACCGCAACAGTGCATTATTAGAGAGAACGAATCAATTGTTGAAAAAATATTTGGAGATGCTCAACAAGATGATTATGCTAAACCTGCCATTTTAACACCCACTAATGTGGATTCATTGTCAATCAATGAAGAAGTGCTTGAATGTCTAAATGGAGAAGTCAAAACTTATTTAAGTGCTGATCAAATAGAGACTGACGATCTTGATAAAATAAATAATTTCCCTGTCGAGTTTTTGAACAGCTTAACTCCTTCAGGTATGCCTACTCATTGTTTAAAATTGAAAATTGGTTGTGTAATTATGCTACTTAGAAATTTAGATCTTAAAGCTGGGCTATGTAATGGCACCCAAATGAAAGTTTGTGCTCTCCAAAACAATTATATTGATGCAGAGGTGTTGACAGGTGTTTCTGAAGGTAAAAGGGTATTTATTCCTAGAATTCAGTTGGCTCCGTTGGATTCTAATTTACCTTTTGTTCTCAAACGTCGCCAGTTTCCGGTCCGATTGGCATATTCTATCGCAATTAATAAAAGTCAAGGTCAAACGTTTGATAGAGTTGGTGTTTATTTAAAAAAACCATGTTTCTCTCATGGTCAATTATATGTAGCGTGTTTAAGAACAAGGGCGTTTAATAGTTTGTTTTTTAAAGTTGATAAACATCCTATTCAAGGTATGGCAGGTGAAAAATGTTACACAGATAATGTTATGTTTTCAAATGTTCTTAATTTGTAGTTGTAAAATTTTATTTTAACTATTTAAATATTATTTTAAATATTCTTTTTTGCTATACCATACAATGATATTTTTATTTATGTTTTTTATTTCAGATCTGTCTTATGACGTATTTTTAAATTACATGAAAAGAAAAGCAGGACCCATACCCTACAGAGGGTTTGAAATTTATTGAATCATGTCTTATTTCAATTTTTCTTTTTCTTTTCTCTTTGTTTATAAACATGTATTTTTGTCATTAAATAATTAGCTTTGCTATTGCTGTTTCTTATATTTTGTACTTTTTTTTATAAATTGCTTATATGAGAATATTTTATGATGTATTATAATTTAGAAGGTATGTTTTTATTTAAAAGGTATTCATGTTTTGATTGATATATTCATTAAATAAAATATTTTCTTATAAACAATGGCATTTCATCAATCTTTGTATTAATTTCATTAATATACTCATCAACTGTTTTACATGCATCTCAATTGGCAGAATAGTTTTTTTTAATGCATTTTTTAATTATAAAGTTGAAGATTTAACTTATGAGTAGTTGCAAACACATAAGGATCATTCAATACAAATAGATATGAAATTACAGTTGTTATCAAATTATTTAGGACTATAAAATCCAAAATTTGTAATACCATTTGCAATTTTAAATACATTTTAATAACACCAAATCAGTTAAACTGAATTTGTGTTTGTGTATGTGATTTTTGACAATACATTTTTACAAATAATGACAAAGGCACCTGATGCTGATGTATCGTTTAATTTTTACTAATTGTTTTTGTTACTGGAAAGCCAGTTTTTGTTGCCGGAAAACCAGTTTTTGTTACTGGGAAGCCAATTACTGGGAAAAACCAGTTTTTGTTACTGGCAAGCCAGTTTTTGTTGCCGGAAAGCCAGTTTTTGTTACTGGCAAGCCAGTTACTGGGAAAAACCAGTCTTTGACACTGGGAAAAACCAGTTTTTGTTACTGGGAAGCCAGTTTTTGTTACTGGGAAGCCGGATTTTGTTACTGGAAAGCCGGATTTTGTTACTGGAAAGCCAGTTGTATCACGACTTATAACATTGACTTAACAGTTTTATAGTTTTTATAAATTTACAGCCATTTTTTTTTGTTGCAAATATGCTTTTATGTTAAAAGTATGTTAATTTCAAATTTAAATAGCCATCATAGAAAAAGTCAAATATCTAATGCTGTGTTTGTGCTATTATTGTGTGTCCGTATATACCTCCTTAAAATTACCAAACGTTAAATTAAGTAAATAAAATGGGGGGGGGGTTCCATTTTAGAGTTTTTATTTAAACCCTCACAAATTTGACAAATGATTTCCCAAAGGATTTTTCATTGGAAACCACTTCAACTGCATCTTATTTATTAAAAATTTATCTTATTTATTAGAAACCACTTCCTTGACAACTTCCTCGACAACCACTTTCTCGACAACCACTTCCTTGACTACTGCTGCTACAGTTAATGGTAAGTGGTTTGCAATTTCGCACATTATTGTATTAGTGTTATCTTTACACTTACATATATTGCTGTTATAAAATTGTTATTTCGTTATTTATTTTCATTTCAGATTTGTCATACCAGGCTTTTTTAGTATACTGGAGAGAACACAATGGACCCACATGCCATAGGGCTCATGGGGTGTGGGTTCGAAACGGCGGCCGCGACTACCCCTATCCCTTCTTCCATTGGGGGGGGGGGGGAGGGTAGTGGTGGTTGTTGTAGAAGAAGGGGGGGAGGGAGGGGTGGGATTACATACATCTACAATTAATATTTTGTAGGTTATAATTCTACAAACTGCTAATTGTAGATGTATTTTTAGATATTTTATATTTGTAAATTGTTTTTGTATTATATCTATGTATCATTTTTGTATCATATCTTATATATTATGTTATTATATTTTTCTTTGTAAATTTTGTTTGTATAATTTTTTTGTAAATTATTTTTGTAAATAAAAACCTATTCTTTTATGTTTTGCGTTTCCTCCCCTTCCTGCAAAAATTTTTTAAATTAACTTATTTAACTCATAGAGTTTTTTTCCGGGAATTCCGGAAATTCAATTTCTCAAAACTCATTTAATTTTCCAATTTAAAAAATATTATATAAAATTTCAAATGCCACAAAGTTTGCATTTAAACAAATATATCTTTCATAATTTTCTTTTTAATTAATTCAAACTAACTTTTTCGAATATTAGAAATTCATTATTAGTTTATAATTTTTTATTTTAAAATTCCTTATTTATCCTTTTATTTTATTAAAATAATTAAATAGAAAGAAATTTCCAGTAATTTCATGAAGTCAAAAACTCATCTAATTAAAATTACTTTAATAAAAGGAAATGACCACAGACCAGGACGTGTTGTAATTTTGTCATCAACTTATGTAGGAAATCTTAGCATAATTAAATTTGTTTAAATAGCAGTTATATTAAAAAAATGCTTGGTCTTGGTTGTTTACTTTTCTGTTTTCAGATTTTTACGCTCCAAGCAACTTAGCGAAGCAAGTTTTGATTTATATTTTAGTGCGATTAAAGGAGCTGAAAGCTACTTTTTAGAAAGCAATGATTTAATTACTAATAACCCGTATTACGGGTTACTTACTGCTAGTAATAAATTAATCACGCGTCAATCATAAAAGAAATTCTTTGATCTCATTGGTTTATTATAACAAAAATAAAATGAGTACTACCGAAACCATGAATTATGAGTCTAGTTTTTAGAACTTTTTTCAAACTAATGATTTTTTATTAGACAATGAACCTGATTCTGATCTAAATAATTTTTCTGAATCTAATGCTTTGTAAAATAGATGGAATTGCTTTTATTCAGATGAAATTAAAGAATTTCTAGACCAAAATAAAATTAATGCAATTCACATTAATATACAAAGTATAAGAAAAAACTTGGAAACTTGTAATATTTTTA